AATGTTAGCTTTGTGTTGATGTCCCAATTTTTATGGACCTGACTGTATATTGGCGATGTCCCGATCACGTGATCGGATCGGGACGATTTTTTCATATTTTTCAGTGATTGGAGATCCACAATTATAACTGACGAGTCTTGTCGATCTTCCGAAATACACTATGAGCACGTTACCTTATTCTACTTGCGGGAAAAAAACTCATGTAGGGGGCTTCTTTTCTTATGTGATAGTCTCACCCTGTTTACGGACTGTTTATAGATAGTTTTTGAAAAGAAGTCAGCCAAATGCATGACGAATCAAGCAGCAATTTACATTTTTTAAGATGTCTGTGGTACTTACCAAATTTCGCTCTCTCTCTTGTCGGCTCGCGTGAGTTTAAATCCTTCCAGGGAAAAGTCAGTCTGCTATGAACTTGTTAATCCACCTCTTTGTAAAAAAAAAAAAACCATCATGCTCAGTAGTCCAGCAGTAGCCGGGTCAGCGCAGAGCTTGTCCATTTCCAATAATCACGAAGGGTAGATGGCTTATATCTCCGTTTTCTCTCCAGAGCGTAATTCTGGAGCAGAACCCACATTTCGTGGAGAAGTGAGCTGCAGTAGAGGTAGCATTAGCTGCGGCCACCTTAAGGGCATTAAAACACGCAAAGAATAAAAACAGAGTAACAAAGCGAGAGTAAGTTAGCATTTCCTTGCGAATGGAGTCGGCGTTATAAATTCCCCTGCCACTCTGTTTACTCAAAAATAGAGGGCACAGACATATGTACGTAGATGGCCCGTGGACTAGCATTGCCTATTAGAGCTGCCGTAGTGGCCGGCCGCCATTTTAGATGGGTCTTCATTCGCCCCCATTGCATTCATTTCTACTGAGAAAGGTGCTTACCCCACTATAAACACACATTATCAATCTTTTTCATAAAATCAGACACAAGGTATGGCTTGATCATTAAAATATAAATATTATTAAACAAAAAGTGTGAAGAGACACATCCAATATGGCGACAACGCTGTTACGCTCTCCAGAGCCCAATGTGGCGTCTACATATTCATGTCTATGGTAGAGGGCAATATTGATAAAACTTTTCTTTATTATATTGTACCAAGTCAGTCTTTTGCATTTTACTTTTGTTCAAAACATTAAACTGAAGCTGACCTATAATCTCTTGAGATTTTGATTTCATGGGATTTACAACAATAATGGTAATGCTTATTAATAACATTAGTCTTAAATAGTTAACTTGAGTTACTTGCTAAAAATATATTTCAACTTTATTAATTTCATTAGTAAAGGCAAATTATCGGATCGGGACTTGAAATCGGATCGGATTTGAAATTTAAAGATCGGGATTGGGAGCCTAAAATGCTGATCGGGACATCCTTAATACATATATATATATATATATATATATATATATATATATATATATATATATATATATATATATATATATATATATATATATATAATGTATGTATGTATGTAATGATGGGTGTTTCAACCACACCAGTCTCGCACTTTCAGATTTATCAGCTTGTAAAAGTTTGTAATTAGCATGACTACACACCAGGAATCACCACATAATCTCCTCTCCCCTAAAGCAGCTGCTACTTACCAATTCAATTCAATTCAATACTTTATTTCACTCAAAGTTTAAATATACAAACTTCAAATCAGAATATAAGCATTCGAGTGAAATAGGGGGAGGAAGAAGAAAAAATCGTATATGACCTACCCCCTGTAACTAAGACAAGATAAATAACAAAAAAGTACAAAATAGCCTTATACACAAAAAATAAACCACTCTCTTACTTCCACAAATAATATCACTACTAAAACATTAATCCTCCATCCTCAACTTACCAAATCATACGTTTTTAGCATTTTATCTTTATACATTTTTTTGAATTGATCAGTAGTTGTACATTTTTTTAATTCATCATCCAGGTTATTCCATAATTTCACACCATATATTGAAATACACATTTGTTTTAATGCAGTACGGACAAATATCCTTTTAAACTCTGGTTTCTTTCTACTCTTATCATTTTTTGGGATTAAAACAAAGAACCTTTGTAGATTAGTTGGCAGCAAATTATTTCTAGCCTTAAACATAATTAGTAAAATTTTCAAGTTAACTAAGTCTTTGAATTTCATAATTTTAGATAGAACAAAATATTTGTTAGTATGTTCTCTTGGATTTGCTTTATATAGAATTCGCAAAACTTTCTTCTGTAACAGAAACAAAGGATTAGTGTTTGTTTTATACGTATTGCCCCAAACCTCAATACAATAAGTTAAGTATGGTAAGATAAATGAATAATATAATGTCTGAAGTGTTGAAATTTCTAGAAAACCTTTGACTTTGTTTAAAATTCCAATACTTTTGGATATTTTTTGTTTTATATATTTTATATGGGATTTCCAAGTAAGTTTATGGTCCAAGAGAACCCCTAAGAATCTGACTTCATTTACTCTATCAATTAAAAAACCATCAATAGACAACGTAACTAAATCATTAGTTTTTCTGTTACCAAAAACCATGAATTTTGTTTTATTCCAATTGAGAAATAATTTATTGTCATTAAACCACTTCTTAAGTTTAGACATTTCACAAACCATATTTTGAATAATAATTTCTAAATCATTTCCAGAACAAAATATATGACCAGATTTATGATGGTTCTTTCCTCCTGTTGGAAGTTTGTTGAACTTACAGCCCTTTTCCCTCAGTTTTCTCCATGTCTGGTTCGATGACGTCACATTCGTGAAGCACATTTGTAGTCCTGGACTCATTTTCACACAAAACCTAGAATAGTGTTTCCCCTGTTTGAAAATATGCATTTTCTTGGTATCAAAATGCTTCTTTGAAATTCACAGACATCATATGTGAAATCCACGGCACAAAACAAGCGGAATTAGAAAATAGCGTTTTTATTCCCGTTGGCTTGCATTCATTTTTTTCGTTCTTCTGGGGACCCATGATGTAGAAGTCGATGGGCGTGACTTAGGCTCCCTATACAGAAACATCTGTGCAAAGTATGAACTGGAAGCCCCAAAGTCAAAGTGGGTAGCACACCCTAAGGTGGTGGAGAATGAGAGAGCCGCACGCGCCTCCTATGTGACATCCAGATCCAGACCAACAAAATGGTCATGGTGAACCAACCGGCCGTCATGGTGATGGATGAGCAACAGAGGACAGCTGTTGTGGTTGTCGTGGCAACACCAAGTGATGGCAAAATCAGGAAAAAGGAACATGAAGAACTAAAGAAGAATTTGAGAAAAAAACACTGTTTTTGAAGAGTCGTAGAACATTGTGCTGTATAACCACGTAAACACCAAAACTACCAAAACAAAGAGTAGACTCACATCTTACATCAGGAAGAATCAGCGTGTTTCTAGTGTTATCCGTTCTTTCACAATCTGTTGTCGAAGTGTAATCAGCAGAAGCTTTTCCAGTTGGCGCTTTGCGTTTTTCACAGCGGCGTCCCAAAATGATCTGCTAATTCATGGATTTTCTGCTTCCTGATCACGTGACGTGTGACACATGGGTGAAGATCAGCTTTAGAGACCCGTGATGTTTACTCTCATGGTGCGGGGGCTCGTTCCCACGCCCACCCCTTTAAAAGTGCAATTGTCGACTTTAGGCTATGGCAGTTAATGTGTTAAAATACATGGTACTGCTGATTTTTTTTGGTGCATTTTGCAACAAAGACACAAAACAGACCTATATGGTCACATGCTTTTTTCCCCACCAGTGCAGTCATCACTGTAGGAAGTATCAGCAGTACACCCCCTCCTCTGTGTGTTATACCTTGCAAAGCCTAATTAAATTCCATTTGCAGTTTTATAAATATATGCTGCTCTATCATTAGCTCATCCTTGGTAATTAGTCCATTGTTCATCTAAATTGAATACACCTGTTTATTTATTTATTTATTGCTGTAATCTTTTGTGCTCTAGCAGCTGAGGTATAGAGTGAATGCTTTATGATTTGAAGACTGTGGAGACGGAATAAGTCAGGATTGGCATGTTGTATCTTTTTCTCAACACCTCAGAGAAATTAACAATCACTGAAATCCTATGGAACAACTTGGACCTCATATTGTCGGGGATTATCTGTCCTGAGAACGCCCGTTTCCATTTTGTCCTTTTCTTGAGTCTTAACTGTATTGACAACAGCTTAAGCAGCTCCGGATTCGATCAAATTTAAACGTACGTGAGTTTATTTAAGCCGCTAATGGGAAATGGCACATAGCATAAAATTAATAGGTAATGGCATCTGAATGTCAGCCCGAGATTGGAGTCCATCTATCCCTGCTGGAGATGCAAGAAAGAGTTTTTGTTTTTAAACTGATGAGATTTCCCAGAGGAGAGAAACTTTGCCCTCCACATATTGAAATTGATTTGCTCCTCTGCGGCGATTCAGATGTTTACCTTCTAGCTAATTGCAAAAGGCAAGCTCTATTTAACGGTGAAAGAAAAGGACTCACAGAGGAGCAATGCATTTTCTCCTGTCCCTTTCTGGACCAATGCCCAAAGCTTCATTTAAAAGGGTCGGCTCACTCTGGAGTAGTTCGTACAGATCTGACTAAAGTGTTGACAGGAAACAAGGGTTTCGCAAAATCCTGGCATACTGAAGCAGTGACTTTAAACTATGCAACAAACGAGCCCTGAGACCTCTGCGATATTACTGAATACCTGATTTTCAGTCGGGGATAAACTTAAGAGTACATAATTGTTCATGAAGACTACAATAAATGTTTTGATTTGATAGTTTCTTCGTTTCTGTTATTATCTGTAACCCACTTGTGAAATCATTTTCATTCCTCTCACGACTGCTTATCTACATGGATATCAACGCCATACTCAAACTGACTTGACATTCTGAACAATAAGCCAAATGAATGACCACGCTAGATGCACTTTACATTATTTAGTGAAACACACGCTGTAAATCTATGCAGGCGACGAGTCTCATTTGCTAATGTCTTTGTGTCTTCCAGATCAGGAGCGAATAGGAAAGGACTCACATTATGAGCAGGAGGGAAAGGTGCAGTTTGTCATTGATGCAGTCTATGCAATGGCTCACGCTTTGCACAACATGCACCAAGAACTCTGCCCCGGGAGAGTGGGCCTCTGCGACAAAATGGACTCCATCAATGGCACCTACCTGCTTAAGCACATTCGCCGGCTGAATTTTGCAGGTCAGTTCCGTCTTCTAACCCTGAGCTCACACGCAGATGATAAGCATACCATCTTCAACTTTCACTGTGTTAACAGGGCAACATTTACTTATTATAAATTACAACAGCTAGAGATGATTATATATGGTGATAATCCTGAATATAAAAAAATGTTTTATTAATCTTAACGTTATGATGTTGAAGATTTTTCTGGGAACTATGAATGTCCTAATAAAATTTCATGGCGTTCTCTTGTAAAGGGCTGTCATACTGGAGGACATATCTGATAATTGGGATTAAGATTTGTCTTCTGGAAATAATGTAATGTTTAATTTCATGCCAATGAAGCAAAATGGTTGACATTCAACCATCTGAGCCTGTGAAGAGTCTTGTGAAATATAAATTATTATGTGACTAAAAGGTAAAAAAAAATCCACAACGTAAAAAAACCCATTTTGGTCACAGATACACTGTTTGTACTTGTTATTTTTTAAATATGATCAATGACTTGAGTTTAACATGCTGAACATGAAAATAGTCTTCAACCCCTGTTTCCTGTGTTAGCCAGCTAGAAAATAGCTGGGGAAACGCTTTAATTAGAAAAGCCAATGACAGATGTACATCATATTGTCAAATTAGCATTCATGAATTAACATAACCTGGCTTGTGACAAGGAAAGCTGCTGTTGTTTTACTGTCCAGAGGAAAACGGAGCATGTCAAGAAGCTAACCGTTAGCGTTGGCAACTCTACAACATGGCATAACTCCTTCAGGCTTGTGTTATTTGTGGAGATAAAACATCAACACTGCAAAGCTAGCGGAGTCAGTGGAAGAGTTGCACTACTGTTAGCCAGAGACGATGTTTGCATATCATGGATATAAAGCTAAAATGGCAAATTTGAAAAACAAACTAGCTTAAAAACATTGTCATGCCTCTTAACGACGTTTTAACATTATATAGCTAAGGCTCACTCTACTATCTGAAATAAGAACGTCAGAGCTTTTTCCCCACAGAGATTGACTCACAAGAAACTGTAACGTAACGTCACGAGCCCAGGCCTTCGCCCCAGTTTCTGGCTGGAAGCAAAAAAAAAAAAAAAGCAGTGTTTACTTTTTAAGTCTGCAGCTGCATTGATCGATGTGCGGTCCCGAAACAGGGCAGGCATGCGGCGTCTCAGCTGGTAGGCTAACTTTTCCCTGCACGACACCTGTAGCTGCTGTGGGCAGCTCCGGTGCTGCAGGAAACAATCTGACGTTTTGTAGTTTGTTGGCAATTTTTCTTTGTTTCTCTGTCGGCTGGTTTTGCGTTTTTATCTGACTTCGCTGTGAACTGGGACTGTTGGTGCCAAGCTGGAAATTAATGGAGACCGGTGATATGTGTTGTTGACACCCGAAGGGAACAGCCGAAAGTGAAAGTTGTCTGTTTTGAAAGCAGCGAATCATGCAGCTGTGTCCTTCCTAGCATGCTGAATGCCCAGTGTTGCACACTACAAGTGGCTATAGCTCTGCCTTTGCTGTCAGGTTTAAAATACCACCAAGCTGCAAACATTTTAGTTCTCCAGAGGAGACCAAGCCCCCACAATGTGGCTCAAAAATTGAGGCCAACCCGGAAGTACCAAAAATTGCAGTTCCACCCTTGTCCGCTGGGGGCTGGTGTCAGAAGCGAGCAAATCCCCATTGTTAAAAATACCAATTTCACATCAGAAGTAAACATGTTTACAGCCTGGTTCCAAAACATGTTTTTGGTTTAAATTATCTAGTTTACACTCATGACAACTCTGAGGGGGGGTGGATTTTTTTCTCACTCTTCTGTTTAAGTGTATTAAAAGCCTAAAATTCTGTATAATTAATGAGCATAAGACCCACATGACCACAGAGCTAGCTCCGTGGAAAAGCCTCAGTAGAGCCTCGGTCTGGCTTGGAAACTGTTCCGGGATTTTGAGTCTCTGTGTTTGTGTATTCTTGTGTGGATATTTTTTGTGCAATTGTTGGACAAAATGACTTGCTGTGGCATTAATTGCACTAATAGAACGTCCAAGGAGTCTCCACTTCATTTATTTTGGTAAGTAAAATTATATTTTTGTATTTTAGGTCACTGCTGAGCTGAGCTTAGATTTTAACATGTACTGTTTAACCATGAAATTTAAATGTAATAGGGTAAAACCCAGTGCATTTAACATAATGCTGCACTTTAGAAAATGGGTTGAAATGTAACATGTTGGTGGAGCTGGGTTCCGACTATTGGCTTGTGGAGCTCTCGGGAGAACGATGTTTTCCACCCGTTCTCCCCTCCCCGCAGCTCAGCGCATCTCTGTCTGATCGCGGCTTCTGTCTGCTGCGTGGGCTGCCGGCCGGCTTGTGGTTCTCCCCTCCCCGCAGCTCGGCACATCTCTGTCTGATCGCGGCTTCTGTCTGCTGCGTGGGCTACTGGCTTTCAGCAGCTTTCGGGAGACCTCTGTGTTCCACCCGGGTTTACCCACGGTCAGCCCAGCGTGTCTGTGACTCAGAAGCTCTGGTGTTGTGCACAGTTAATTTGTGGAATTGTCTGGGCTTGACGGAACCTGTGACATGGTCAAAATGGCGGTGGTGGCCACCTCCCATTTAGCCTCAAAAATGTTATTGGAGCCTATGGAAATGAATTGTCCAGTATATATGTCAATGGAGGAGACAGGTTAGCTCTGCATTAGCCTGCTTGCTAACAGCTGCAGTTTCTTCTCTGAATCCCTTCCTGCCGTAAATTGTGTGACGTTACTGTGTGGTTTTTGTACAAGAAACAAAGAATATTGGTGTAGAGGAACTTGTTGAAATTAAAACTAGACCATTGTTATTCCATTTGAAAATCTCTATCCCAGGATGAATTTAAAAGGTCATGTTTGTTGTGTGAAAAGGTTCAAACTGATTTTTTTCTTTGGATCCTGATCCTTTTAAAATCACATGACTGGACCTGATTTCCTATCATAATTTGTAAGTGCAATAAATTACTTTCAGAATGTTTAATATACCAGACTGTTGACACGCCCTACTGTAGCAACTTGAGGCTTGTTTAAACATGAATACTACTTCTGGTGGTTACATTAATTTATAAGTATTCTGACACATCATACCTCTTTAATAACCTTTAGTTCTCCAACACAATATTGCCATACATCCCAGCTCCCTAATGAGCTCTCTACCGACTTAATTTTCTGCATTGTTTGACCCATTTTTTCATCCCTTCAGTCAGCACTACGTTATACCCACTTATAAGTCAAGTTCATTTTCATGACCAGCATTTTAATAATTGACTGCTTTCACACAAAGAGCTGTGATCCAGCATAGCATTAAACAGACACAGCCTTTTAGAAGGAAATGCAACACAAAACAATTAAAATTCTTTACAGAGACTTGTGCTGTTCATACAGATAAATTATTCATTTGAACTCCTGCTCTTCAAGCTAATTTGTCATTCTAATATCTACTTATTACAGGATGTCAATTCAACGTTTAATTCACATAGGAGAGGTAAAATGAATTATTTTTTCTGAATGCAGTTTTTCTGTTACTGCAGATCAGGAACATTTTTATTATGTTAATAAATGTTCTTTAAGGATTAACGGCACTCCTTTTCCCCATTTGGTAACTCATGCAACCTGTATGCTGCAGAGCAGCTCAAAATAGTCACAACCAGTTATTGTTTTTATCAACTAGACACATTTCCCCCTGTGATATTAAACGTGCTTCATTTATTTTTCAAGTGTATTTTTCTATTCTTTTTGAGGGGCCAACTTGACTTACAGTCCTTGAAATCAATATCCCAGTTGGATTCATTTAGATTCAGAATGAGAAATTGGGTCATTGCAGAGATTCTTACAGGAATGAGCCTCATAAAAAAATGCTTGAAGAGATTTTCTGCGATTCTGAAATGTGTTTCCATGAAACCGTTTTCATCGTGTGGTTCCTTTTTTAATAATGATCTTTGATTATAATCGGTCATTGAATTGTTTATGCAGGCTGAGCAGGAAAATAGTGTCCGACACCTATCTCATGCGTTAGCTTCTGATAGAAAATAGACAATGAAACTCTAGGGTTAGAAAATCCTGATGGATCTATGTCACACTGTCACTCAACATTCATGGACTCACCCATCTCGGCTCATGACAGAGAATAGCTTAGTGAACTAGACCAAATTCTTGCTTTGCAAAGTTTGTAAATAATACATTTATTTAATCTGGCTTGCCAGGCTAGACAGAGAAGGCTGTTGTTGGTTTAGCGACCAGTAAACACCAGAGAACATCTCAGCTACTAGAAACTAACTGTTAGCATTAGCAACTCCACCATACAGCAGAACTTTTTCAGGCTTGTGTTATTTGTGGAGATAAAACATCAGTGCTGCAGAGCAAACAGAGTCATTCAGAGGAGACATTTTCAAATATCAGGAAATAAGACTCCAAATCCTGTTGTGTGAAGCTCTGCTCTGATGTGGCTCACTTTTACCTCCTGAAACAGGTGCACCAAAGCTTTTTTCTCCACTGAACTTACAAGGTGTTTATTCCTACTAACGACCACTGCAAATGTATTGAATAAATGAGTGAACCACACTTTTGAACATTTATAGGGCTTTGGACCTGGTGCAACAGGGTGTAGCCAGGATATTGTGTTGAGGCGCCGTCTTGGCAGGCCAAAATAAGTGCCAACTATGGAGGATTGTTTATGTCAAAAAATGTCAAATCTCCAGCTAATAGAATATTTAGAAGATGCCAGTGAGAAATATTAATCAGAATTTGTTATAAAACAAGTACAAATATTACACACAGGGGCTTTAAAGAATTTTTGGTAACACTTCATTTTACAGTCCCCTAATTACTAAGTACTTGCATGGTAATTACATAGTAAGTTAAAGTATAATATTGTGTAATTAAAGTGTATAATTGTAATAAAGTGTAATTATTATGTAAAGCAGTATATACTGGGAATGATTAAGAAAGATTAAAAACTAGAATTGAACCTGAGTTACATGGTAATTACTGTTTAAGAACTCAGAAA